ATACAAATTTTTACTTCACAATTTCTGCAGCATTTCAGAATAATCTGAGTTGAGCATCAGCAACATATCATCAAGAAAACAACAAGGCTGCAATATTGCGGTAATAATTACGTATGCAGCTCGAACAAACCCTTTCCCAAAACAAAAATGATTACAAACGGTTTTTTCCAGTTTTTAAATAACTTTTTGTGTATTTTAAAGAAAGTTTTGTTTTTTTGCAAATTTTACAATACATATTCATAACTATATATAAACTGCAATGTGTTTTTTTTTGTGAGTGTAACTTGAAATTTTTGTTTCGAAATTGTGTTATTTATTTTTCATAATATGTATGCATGTTTTACTCTAGGCGCTAACAAAAATCACTGAAGTTAATTGAAATCCAGCTAAATGGAAGCTGGAATTGAGGAAATAGTTTTTTTTTTAAATTCTTGCAATTGTTTTACTAAAAACACTTCGTATTTCAAAAGCACTTAGTGCATTATACTTGTACATACATACATTGAAATGAATGAGTCCTTTATATGCACATAAAAGTATGTATTTACACATATGTACATAATTCTACTAAGTAGCAGTATCTTGCACCTCGATTCATTTGCATCATTCGACATTAAAAAACAAACGCGCGTGATTATCATTTTCTACTGGGATAATCAATGATATATGTATAAGTGTTGCTTTCCATTTTTTCACAAAATTTTAAAAAAGAAATATGTATTAGAATGCAAATTTCAAAAAACGCGCATATGAATGCATTTAAATACCTTCATTGAGTATGGATGTGCATACATAAGTGTGTTCGAATTTAGCTCGTGTGATAGTTTACTTAAATTTTACTTCTCTAATTTTCACGGAATAGTACTATGTAGTTACAAGCTACTTCATACATACATATATGTAATTATAATTTTGTTATAATTAAATTTCTTTACAAATACCATTTTTTGTTTAGAGAAGCGAGAGTGTATTAAAGAGAAAGCAATGTGTGAAATCATTCCTTAAAGCTGTCGCAAATACTATTAAGAAATAAGAATTAGGGCCTGTTCGAGCCGCGCAATAAAAGCGGCATTACTGTCGCACTCATGAACATTTGCAACACTGTTGCAACTGCCCAAATGACAAAACGTTGTTAGAAATTCACATCGAACGTGATACTTTAATAATTTGCGCAACACTGCCGCTGTGATTGCAACTCGAACAAAGTCTTACATATTTTAGTTATGAGAATACAACAAAATGGAAAATTTTCGCTCTTCGCAATTGGCGTTGGTCGCAGATATGACCTTGTTACAAGATTATTTTCAATGTTTTAGAAAGTCGTCAATGAGACTTTCATTCAACAACAGTAGCCATGTGCATTCTTAAAATTCGCCTTAATTTTTTTACTTAGAAGTCTGATATTTTAAGCACACTGTTTCCTTATGTTTTCATAACTTCCTTGAATTTAATTTGGCATATACATATGTACATGCATTTTAAATTGTCTATACATGCTTTAGCCAATATTAGTTTGCAAAGATCATTTGAAAACCGATTTCGAAAATTCGAAGATTATGTTCGAAAATTCTAAATTATGAAAACAAGTTTTATTCTGAACAGGGAAAAATTCCAAAACTAGTTTCGACTTTTCGACATAGTTTTCAAAAATTCGAAGTTCTTAAAATTGCAATTAATTCGTTGGAAACGTGTTTTCTTTATTTTTTTATGCAGACAATCAAGAACAATGAATTAAAAAACTTCAAAATTAATTTCCTTAAAGCCACCTTACTTTTTTCTGCAATATGTTACCTTTTTGGCCTCGTTTGACGTTAACGAACACCACGCGACAAATATCCTGATATTTTAAAGTTTTGCTACTCTCAGCAAACACAGTCTCTAACGTTAGAGAAACATTTTGTTTTACATTAGAATTCTAATGTAGTTCTCGAATGTTTCTCGAAGGTTAGAGAACTATGTTAAAATCCAATTAGAGAATGATTAGAAAATCGCTAGAATTAGAAACCAATTAGAATTCGTCGTCAGAATACGACTTGATATCTAACCTTTTTCTCGGTATCTTAAACTAAGTCCCCTTTTTGTGGAGAATGCTTTAGTTCTCGACAGTTTATTTGATCGTCTTCTAACCTTCTACCTTAGAGAAACACATTAGAATTCGAATCGGTTTATAATTGTTCTCTAACCTAAATGTTTGTTGGGATGGGAAGGATTTTTTTTTTTGAAACATCATTGCAGTTGTTTGCATAATCAATTAAATATAATTATATCCGTAGATATACAAATATACATATGCATGTATTTTTAAGTCAGCATTACACCACATGTTTTATTTATGTACTTCAAAATGCATAATTAAATTATTTAAGTATATGCATATAGCAATTAAGTACAAATAGTCTTGACATTCTTCTTCGATTTACATCAATTTATCATTTATCTAAACAAACTATTCTTTTTTATGTATTATTAATGCGTAGAAATAATAATCGTCATAATAATAAATCGCTTAAGATAATACGTAATTAGACGCAAAGACAGATAGCTGTTGCTTGAGACTGTTTTTGTAATTCATAATTCTTTTGCTTTTTAACTGTCGACAGACTAAGACTGTAGTACTGAGACTGGCTGTCTAAAGCACACATTTGATAAATTTTTTTTGCATTTTTTTTTATACATGCAGGTATGTATGTATGTATATATTTAAATATTTTGTTTTTGTGTTTTTCGTTTTGTTATTATTTTGCATGTAGGTACAATGGGAAATGTACATAATTTTTGTTTGCTGTTACTTTTTCTCTTATTCGGTTTTATTGTTGTTGCTGTTCACATTGTCGTCGTCCAAGTCCAAGTCCTAGTCCTTTTCGTTCCAGTCTATGCGGCTTGGCAACAGAGGAGCAGTACTAGCGTAGGCAAAAGCGTGGGTTGATACTGACTGCTTGAGTGGAAAATACCGTGGTTTGCTTTCGTTTTTTTTTTTTTGGAAATACAATTATCAATACCGTTAATGGATGTTTACCGGATTCACACTATAAATGTAAAATATGAAAATTTGTTGCATAAATTAAATTCAATTCGAAAAAATTACTTATTAATTTCCGTAGCACATGCTGGGACCTACTTTAGAGGCGTTTCAACCAATGCCAGTGAGCGTGTCGCAGCTAGCTTTTCACAAATTTCCATTCACTCAGCGTTGCTGCGTGACGAAGTAGACGCTGTAAACTGTCTGAAAAGAATTTGTCCAATTAAAGCCAATTACATATGTGCGCACCCGGCAGTTGAATGCAAAAAAATCGCTCTGCATAGAAATATACAACATATACAATAAGAGACGGAAAATGATCTTTGTCAAGTTTTGCAGTACGTCAGATGTGATGTTGCATATTTTTAGGCAGCCATATCCTTCATAACCTGAATTTTGAATAAAAAAAGATTGACGTAGAATCCAGCCACAGTATGTGGGCGTAGTCTCGCAGGTGCTAGCTAGTTGCGGTGCTTCTGAAAAGATATACGTGCTACTTTTTTTTAGAAAAAATACAAACGTATAACCCCTTAGATTTTTATTTTTAGGCAAAGTGTTTAAAATATTTAGGCGATTCCCTCAAACTTGAAAAGTGGAAAACTCGTATTTTTATTAAAACTTTGACAACTCGAGAAATACGAGCTAATAGTACGATTTTCCCAATTTAAGCGAATACCCCAACTAACTCTCGTGGAAATATTTAAATTTAAGTTTTGAGATAGATTATAAAAAATATGTGCCGATTATAAGTTCACTCAACACTGTAAAAAAACAACGGACCTTGGAAGTTTTGCAAGTTTCCCCCGCCTTTCTGATTCTAGTTTAAGTTAATATCCTTTTTAAAGGAAATATATTCAGTCAAACCACGCATTTACAGTCACAAATAGGATATCGTAATGCATCCAATCTTTCATGTGCATGTCCAGTTTGTTATTGCTGTTGCATGTTTGCGTCCTTACCAGTTCGTTGTATGTTTTTAAATATTTGCGTGCCTCTTATAAAACATAAAAAGCTAGGGCTAACATATTTCATTTTGATAAAATCTTTACATTCACTCTAGATGCTACCACCACATTTCTGCTGTTTACCGCAATGCAAGTTTTCTTTTTCCATTTTAATTAAAAATTATTAAAAAATATAAAATTTGCATGCAATTCCAATGCTTTGCCTTTAAACAAGCACCTCGCGCTCAAGTCATAGCCACTCAATAAATTGCCAGCTTCGTTTGCCCTTGACGACTCATATACATTCCACCCACTTTTACCCTTCACCAGTCTTCAACCTTGCACAACCTTCCTGCCACGCATCCCCCTTCTCCCACCACCTCATCAACACATGCTCACATAGTTGCACACTAAACACTTTCAATTTTTTTTTTTGTTTTTACATGTTTTATTAAATTTTTCATAAATTTCCTGCTAGCTGCTCTTTTTCTTAAACGCTTAACTTGCATTTCATTGCTTTAACTGCATTCTAAGTACATATTCATTTCTTGATGTAAACCGATTTTTCGTATGCTTAGGCGGCGTTTGAGTTAGCAATATTTAAGTTTTTTTTTTGGCTTGAATGCAATTACATTTTTTTTTCTTGCTTTTGTTGTCTATTGTGTTTGCATCTTGCATTCCTGCTCGCATCATTGTTGCTTTCTAACGCCACTTAAGCTTCGCTACACAAATACATACATGGAAGTATTTGTATTCTGCTCTGTGCCTATTCAATCAATTCTTTTGCCTTTTCTTTTCATTTGTTCTTAATTTTGTTTTATTTAACTTTAAATACAATTTAATAAGACTTGTTTGTTATATTTTCTTTTCTTTTTGTTGCTGAATGTTTGCTTGTTGTTTGTTGGTTGAATGTTTTGAGTGGTTGTTGTGTTTGGTTTTGGTTTCGTTTGCCTGTCAATTGTTGCGATTGATTGATCGATTTTACATTACTAATCCATAGCTAATAGATTCTCATTTTTTTGCTTTTGCTTTTTTGGTTTTTGTAATTTATATATAATGTACGTATGTGTTTATTAACTGTTGCTTCTCTTTGCATTTGCATTTGCATATTTTTTAATTTTTTTTTGCATTTGATTTTCTTTTCTTGCTTTGCTTGTGTGTCTTTAATGGAATATATGTATGTTTATTTATAACCTCTTAGCTTTTTTATACCACTGAATGTTTTTTTATTTTTCTGTTTTTCTTTTGTTTTGCATTACTTTAACTTTTTCGCATGCTTTTCAATTTCTCAATGCATTTGTGTTGCGTGTTTGTTGGTTGTGATGTTATGATTTCCATCATTTGACTAAAATGCTTTATAATTGTGTTATTTAATGTATCATTCTTGTGGAGTAATCATCAGCAAACAGTTTTTTTTTTGTTTTAATATTTCTTCTAAACACAATTTCTTCAATTAGAGTACACGATTGCGGCATCACCTCTGGCGCGCTCCAAGGAGGACCATTTGTTACAAATGGACCTTGCGCCTAACGCACGCAATAAATACATATATAGTATTGTACATATATATCTACTAGCTGTTGTTGTTGTTGATGTTTAGTGCTCATATAGGAAATGTAAAGCTGTTCTTATTAGTGAAATGTATTTGTATATGGCTTTTTGTATGTGTGTGTGTGTGTGTGTGTGAAAGAGTTTTAGAATGGGTGTCGTGTGTAATGTATTGGTGTATGCCTTTATCATCATTATTACATTGAGTTGTAAGTTTTATTTATCTTTATTTTAAATATTAAAGTGTAATTTATTATAATGTATTCTGTTTTTTAAATGTTTATTTATAAATTTAATTCTCTCCTTTTTTCAAGATTTATATATTTTTGCATTTTTTAATGGTTTCCATAGCAACAGCGTCGCGCGATGTTGTGGCGCACAGCTACAGTCTTCGTCAACATCTTAAAAACATAGAAAGGCTTAAAAACAAGTAATTTATCTGCTCACTTCGATGTCATCATAGTCACGAATTCTGCAAAAGACAAAGTGAAATAAACCACAATTAGTTGAGTAAATACAGTTAACAAATTTTTGAGTAACAGCAACATTCAACTTGGTGTATGAGTCAATAAATTTCAATACTGTAGACTGTTACCACCTTACAAGCGAACAAAAAAAGTTCGCCATACACCTGTGAGTCTAAAGTATTTTTGCAAAGCCATTTCTAAAAAAATTTGGTCGCCTTTTTACGTTTTTCGGTGATACATTCGGCAATAAAATTTGTTTTTAAATTGTTGGAACTGGAATAATCGAAATAGTTCCTTAGCAGAAATTTAATGATTTTTGGTGAGCTTTAATTTACCGGCAATAGGGTGGTACGCTCGGGTGATAATAACTGAGATCTGATGGGTAGGTATTCGAACGGGAGCTTTTTCGGCAATGAATTATTTCAACAATAAATATTTTCATTAAGTCCTATTTATCAACAGCATATCGAGTCTATTAGGAATTGCAGTAAATATTCCGGCAGATTTGGAGTCAGTGAAACTACATGTCTAGGCTAAGGTTAATTTAGTTATCCATCGTGTTACCACATTGCAGAATTTCAGGAACGATAGCTGCAGAAGAAAACCCTCGACTACCCGCGACCACCAACCGGCCGGTGACTACTTGTACGCAGTGGTCGAAGCCACAAACTTGCCAAAACGCCGCACTGCGGACAGCGACAGCCCAACAAACATTTAGGTTAAAGCTTAAACAGATGGCAGCGTTGATCCGGATTACTCGGACTTAATCCGGATCAAGTGCAGTTAATTCCCGAGTTGATCCGGATCAACGCTGCCGTATGTTTATGCTTTTAGAGAACGATTAGAAAATGATTCGAATTTTAATGTGTTTATCTAAGCTAAAAGATAAAAAGACGATTAGAGAAACTGTCGATAATTATAGCATGGATAATTCTCTCGATATCTAGTGTTTCTCTAATTATATTCTAATCGAATTCTAACATATCTCTCTAATTTGATTTTCCCTTCATGAAATACATTAGAATCGTAAAGTAAAATCAAAATGTTTATCTAACATTAGAGATTGTGATTGCTGGGACGATGCCTTCTGATGTCGCCTGAACATCACTTGCACAGCGAGGCCCCAATGCTCCCAGTAATGGACAGTTCTAGAAAGGTACTACAGACGCGAGCACCTGAACAGACACGTAAATCAAACAACCACTGAGAGACATTATTCATAGAGAGTTCCGTCACAACCTTCAGTGACTCTCGACCCATAAAGACGAAGAGTATAGAGGTCAAAGAAAACTGCTGTGGATAAATTTTTTGTTTTGGTCGGAAAACAATATTTCACCTAAAAATGAATGAACATATTAGGCCAACTTTAAAGTCTTAAAACAATGACGTAGAAAAATTTCACTGCATTTGACTATATTATTTATACATATGTACATTTAAAACAGTAAAGTATGACTAACTTTTCCCGAATGACATCAATATGTTATTGTTCAACCACTCATCAACATATGTATACACGTAGTTGCCATTCACATAAATATCGCTCTGTGTTGATCAGCTTCATAATAATTTAATTATAAGCTTAACATCAACTCTCCCCCACCGATTGCCTTTTTTACAATCACATGCGAATTGCGCAATTTTTCGCAAATTATATTTAAAGTTCAAATGACGCCCGCGCAAAAAACGTTTAGAAAGAAAAATGTGTGTTTGCATAAAAGGTAGTGATGTGTGAAAATGAATCCAAGCCCCACCTACACTAAACTAAGCTAGCCATAGTTGGTAGCAAGCAAAATCATTCAATATAAACAATAAATATTTACATATATAAGAAACTAGCACTTTATGTGAGTAACAACAATGGATGGGAAATCAATGGCGCAGCGAAAAAATTATGACGACTTTTATTTTAAAGCGAAAGTAGCAAAAAAGCTATGGGCCAGCAAGGAAATGGCGATAAAGCTTACTAATAAAAAAAAAGCTGATGTTGATTTAGTTACGAATACAGAAAATAGGTAATAGGATTATAAAAATATGTAAATACGTATGTATATACGTATGTATATACTAACTATTACTGGCTCAGATGGACGTACAAGAAATTTTTATGTTCGAAAAAATAACATCGAATAGTAAAGGCAGAAAAAATCGCTTTGAAAACTTGTACTTGAGCCGATTTGAAATTCGAATTTTATTTTCAAAAGCTCCTATTTACGCTGGAATGTCAAAAATAGAGATATAAACGTAGAATGTTAGAAAAAAGGTAAAAATAAATGCTAAAAAATTAAGTGCTTACAAAATAAAGTTTGAAAAAAATTGGTATTTCCGAAACAGATATGCAAAAAATTAGTAATAAATGAATGTTGTATGGTCTATAATATAGACACAAATAAAACCTTTATCAATATGTTTTGGACAAAAAAAAAATATTTCAAATATTTTCAGTCCAATTTAAATAAATCGACATGCTTGAGCTTTCTTGATCTTTTATTACTAGGTTGTGGATTTTCATATTTTCGAAATTTATAGAAATTTTTAAAATGGAGTTTCCACAGATCCTTAATAATGTGTTTTCCTTACACGTCTTATAAGCATTACATGCGGGTGCCTATAAAAGTGACTACGAAAAATGGGGGAACTTTCAGAATTAAATTTTACTCAAAACCAGCTAAAATGCGTATGTATGTGTATTAGTCATTCTGAAAATTGAGATGATAATTTCATTTTTATTATTTATTATTTTTAGAGACTAAAAACACTCATATTTCAAAAAGGTTTTCCTTTTTATAAAGCAATCGCATTTCTGGCTAGTATATTTCAGGACGAATGGGTAAGGATTGAGCCAAGAGGTTGTGTGGGCAAATCCAATTTTTGGCATCAAATGTTACACGCCGATATTTAAAAAATTCGAAAACAAAATCTAAATGCTATTCACGTAAACGAATCCTGTGTACAATAACTGCCAGTCAAAATGGTTCAAGCTAAAAAAAATTTGTGTTATTTTTTTTATAAAGATTTGGGTTATATTTAGTACAACAAAAAAAATAAAATCAAAATTCTAAACCTGGTACAAAAACCAGGAAAATTCTATAAAATTTCCATTAATATTCATGAAAATTTTTAGATTTTTGATCAGTCCACTGAATTTAACTGTAATAAAATGCAGGTTGAAAAAATTACAAAGTTATCTGCTAATTGAGCTTTATCTTATAGGCACCCACACACTTGCGATATCTGTCGGTTCGAAACTATACCAGTGAAACCGACAACAGATTTAAATGAGCAACCACACACACCAATACGATTTTGCTGTAGCAACTTATTCGAACATTAACAGTTTTTTTCGAAGTGCCGAAATCGCAGACTGCTGCGTTTTGAGAACAAAAATTTTAATATACGCATTTCGAGAATTAAAACAAAAATTTACTTTAGAAAACAAAACGTTTTTGATGTAAAAAAGCAAAGAATTTTACTTTTTGTTTATAAAATGCCATTTTTGCTTCCTTAACTTAATAAACACAACCGGTAGTAAAATTCTACAGTTCATCGGAACTTTGGACTTCCGAATTAAGAAATATTTATGCCTATAAAAAATTAGAAATTCTTATCGATATTTAAGAAAAAAACTCAATTTCGAATTTTCGAAAATTTCGAAAATCAAAATGTTTAGATAATAAAATTACTACTAATAAAAATTGTCTTTAATTATCGTCACATAATAATTTCAGCATTTTTTTCGAAAACCAAATTGCATTTTAGAAATTTCAAAAATGCAAACAAACAATAAATCAAAAGAAATAACTCACTTAGGTGAAAGCGGAACAATATAAAACAATATTTAGTACTCACAATCCGATGATTAATTGCAAATAAGACACGTGTAAGTATAAATTAAATGTAGTTTCACCTCTAATTTTTCTAATTTGTATTTTTTACACTCGAAAACTCATATTGAAATCTTTGCTAATATACACTACGAAATTTCGCCTTCCACAGCATTTATCTCGAATTACTCATAAATTACAACCGAACCGCCTGATTAAGAGACTTCAACACACCCAATGACTTGTGATCGCACAAAAAGGGGCCAGTGAGTAATAACAGTATAGGAGGAAGAAAAAAGGCAAAGAAATTATATTTATGTGTATATACACTATAGTGCATACATATGAAAAAAGACAATAAACAGAGATTGGCAACAACATTGAGCAAAAGCCAGAAAATTAGAGGGCAACTAAAAAGGCGAAACTATTGTGTCTCGAATGCAAGCAATTAACATAAAATGTTTCTATTATTCGGAGGTAAGCAAATTACGCGGAATTTTTCGCATATACGACACGATCACGTTTAGTACGAAAAATGAAGAAAAATGAAATAAAATAAATAAATAAAAGGCAAAAAGCTAACATATTAATATACATACGTCTGTACTCTTCGTATGCATACACATATGTACATACATATGTATGTGATAAAGTAAGGAACAAAGCAAACCTTCCGAACATGGCACCGTGCCAAAAGTTCGTGAGGACCTAATAAATTTGCTTTTGGAAACAAAGTATGTATGCATTGGTGTGGATGTATGTTTATACTTTAGGTGAAACGGGATAGACTTTCAAGTCATTTAAAATGTATGCCAACCTATATAACCTGCTACCCACAGCCAACCGCCTACACTCTCATACAAACACATGCAGAGTTCAGTCACTTAACGGCTCATCCAGCCAACTAATCCTATGGTTGTAAACATTACGATTTAACGCTGATTGTTTGCACAACATTGTATGTATTTATGTACATATGTATGCGCATGTGATGAGTATGTATGAAAGGCTCTAACGACAATCATCAATGCTTTTATGCCAATTCTCTTACCAAACACTACACAAAAAAAAAAGCAAACATTAAGAGCAAACATGAAGGTTGATGGACGGGCAAGGCTAATAAAAACTAATCATTGCTGTGTGTTGTGTAGGGGCGGTAGGGCCCAAAATGTGATGCAGCCAAGTGTTGTGCGGTTTTTTTTTACATTTGCACACACTTGGTGAATGAAAATAAAAAGGCGATGGCAAAGAAGTGCAGCTACCTGCTGAACCTATTACAGCACCCCACCCCTGCCCATAAGCCATTAAAAGCACAGCTAATATATTACAATTGGCAAAGAGAATAACAGCAAGCAACTGATACTTGCTAACATTCGCTTAGAATGGGCAGGACTGTGCTGATGGATAATGTTTGCCAAGTGGTACAAGCGTTTGCGTGCGTAGCAATGTGTTTGGATAGTAAACCTTTTAGAGATTTTTTGTTTGGGTAGTGGCAAACTAAAGCATTAAAGTGATTGAAGATGAGCAACCAGCGTGGCAGTAGAGCAAACAAAAACTGCCCTACAATAAAATAACACGCACATGCGTTGGCGATGCTAAGGGTGCGGCGCCGCACGCAGTAGAGCATTCCGTAAGAAACAAACAACTCTGATAAATTGACTGAAATAATAAAAGCACCTGAATTTTTGCAAAAGTAAGGGTAACCTTTCAAAATGATGTGTTGATATGTACGGCCACGTGCGCCTAAATAAATAGGAAGGCAAGCATTGGTAGTAGGCAACTACACAACATCGTGCGGCATAAAGACGTGGTGGCGGTGGTGTGCTAATGCCCCCAGGTGTATGCAGTATGTAGGTGGGGTCGTAACAGCATTTCGTTGTAACTTGGGACGGAAAACATTTATACATGCCGCTCTTTTACATTCTTAATTTGGCGTTTTTTACGAGAGAGTTTGGCAAACGTCAACTAATAACATTAAAGTCGCAGCTGCAGCATGTTTCTAAAAATGGCAGCACACGCATTCCAATTCACTCCATCACAAAAGCATGACACCAGCACCTCACCTTGGTATCAGCTGCTCATCCACTTAAAATATGCATTTAGAAGTTAAATTATTTACATAAATGTTTTTTATACACCAAGTTAAAAGCTGCCGCTACATGTCGATATATACATAGATGTGTACGTATTATGTAGCAGAAGATGCATACCTTCATAATTGACCTGACCGTCACCATCGATATCAGCCTCCCGGATCATTTCATCCACTTCCTCATCTGTTAACTTTTCACCCAAGTTTGTCATGACGTGACGTAATTCAGCCGCTGAAATGAAGCCGTTGCCATCCTTATCAAATACTCTAAAGGCTTCTCGGATCTCTTCTTCACTATCGGTATCCTTCATTTTGCGTGCCATCATTGTCAAGAACTCGGGAAAGTCAATGGTGCCATTGCCTAAATTAAGCGAAGGAAGAGAAAATCAAATTTTTGTTTAGTGGTAATAAACAGGAATTATTTTATTTTTGCAATATTCGGGATATTTCCTTCCATCAACTGGGGAAAGCCTCGAAAGGCTCGAAAGTAACAAAGTTATCGACGTTGACATGAGAAGACCTTTTATACTTTATTTTAATTTATCTTCTAGTTTAAAATCAAGTTTAATTTAATTGAATTTTTTTTATTTACTTTATCATTTTTTAAGTTTTTTTATTTTTCTATATTTTTATTTTATTGGAATTTAATTTTCATTTCAATTGAGTTTTAATTTTTATTTGAATTTAATTTTTTGATTTTCATTTTTAATTTAATTTAAATTAAATAAATTTAAAATTTAATTTTATTTAATTTATATTTTATTTAAATTCTAAATTTATTTAGTTTTAATTTTACTTAAATTTTAATTTTATTTAAATTTAAATTTAATTTTTATGTTAATATTATCTTTATTTTGTTTCGATTGCTTTATATTTTGTTTTTATCGTTTTAAATTGTCTCTATGGTTTTACATTTTGTTTCTATTGTTTTAAATTATGTTTCTATTGTTTTATATTTTGTTTCTATAGTTTTTTATTTTGCTTCTGTTAATTAATTTTCGCTTCTTTTTTTATATTTTGTTTCTATTGTTTTATATTTTGTATCCATTGTTTTCTATTTATTACATTGCTATGTATTTTTTTGTTTCTAATGTTTTGTATTTCGTTTGCGTTGTTTTAAATTTAGTTTCTATTGTTTTATATTTTCTTTTTGTTGCTTTATGTATATTTTTTATTCTACTTTAATCAAATTTTTTTTTATTTTTATTTTAGTTTATTAAAAACAAAAATTTTATAACCGGTAAATAAAGTTTCCATTTAAATTTTTAAAATTTTCGATATAAAAAGTTTTGATATGGTTCCACAAAGACCTGGTAATGTAAATTTAACTAGTCAACTAAGTTTCTCCCGCACTTACGTTTAATCGCGTGTTTGTCTTTCGAAAGTTTATTTCCAAAAGACTACCCAAAAAGTGAATACCAATCAATTCAATTGGAATCGCTTGAAATCGCAGTGCGAAAGCACGCGGCCAATGCAAATATTTAACCCAAATATTATTATTTATTACTATTTTTTATCATTTTATTTCTTAAAATAAATTTCATCGTCTAAAGGAATAAAATAATTAACAATGCAATAATTGGCCGTAACTAAAATATTTATTATTTTATTTCCAACCACTTATTTTATAGCGTAGCATAATGTGTTTATAAATACCTTTACAACGCAGTTTTGCACATGTTTTAAATTTAGCAACATTTCATTAGCAATATTTATACATTTCACGAAATGCCAACGCAAAAAAAAAAACAAAAAAAATCGTTCAATTGAATGCCTGAATGACAGAAAATTAATAGAAGTGGATTGCAGCCGAACAAGGAAGTCTTGTGACCACAGCGGCTTTCCCCAAAAAGATATGCATGCCATTACCTGCCACTTCCCTGCCCACCGCTACAGCCACCTGGGAGCGACAGCAACTACAAATCTACTATACATATTCTCCTTGCCCCAGCAAATATAAAGAATTTTACATAGCGATAAACGACGTACAAGAAATAGACGCCAATAATTTGCAAAAACAAAAATTGCTGGCACGGATTCGCAATGCACGCCCGAGGAGTGCTCTTGTGTTTGATGATGCCAGATCGAGTTTGTTTTTTGCACAAATGTAAAATAAAATGCATATCGACGTACATACATGTAGATACATACGTTCATTGCTACGGAAAGTTTGAACTGAGTACGTCGCACTGCTATAAATAACACAAAAATAAACGCCGATGGAGGCGTTAAAATTAGAAAGCAAACAACAGTGAATGCCGAGTATTTGGGTAAAAGTGTAAAAATAATAAAAATATGTATCTACATATGATGTATGTATGCCTCGAAACTTGAAGAATAAATCAACAGAATTCGCGAAAAAATTATATCAAACTTGACAAGGCCGGCACTGAAGCAGAGCGGGTTTCGTTAGGTGTGGGGGTTTTGGGTTTTCTAAAGCGCCATGTAAGCGCAAGACACACGTGTACTATTTCACATTACACAGTAGTGTCCAAATAAAGGTTATCACCCGCAAAAAGTTTTCTAATAATGAAAAGAAATCGCGGTCATTAATAAGAAATTGTGTTTGCAGTTGTAAATGCAACTTGTTCATACGAGCCTAGGAATTATTATGGATATTTAAAAGATAAGTAACAAAAAATTTTAATTGTAAAAAACAATAAAATTGACAGTCATTTAGTGATTACGCAAGGTGTTTCTCGGTAGCGATTTGGAAAAATTCCCTCTCACAGTCAGTTATGATTCATTAACAACATTTGATGAACATTAAAGTTAAGTAAAGAAATAGAAAGAAATGTTTAGAAAATTATTTTATGTATTTATTTTATTAATTCCATTATTTTCTTCTTCTTCAATTTTAATTATTATTGTAAATAGTATTACTTTTTAAAAAATTGATTGCTAAAAGATAAACAGAATAACGTTAGCAGATCTTTCAATTAGCCTTTAAGATAGGAGAGGGCTTTACAGTCCTATTCGCGTGTTGTCACAGCCGTCAATTGCCACAGTTAAATTGTCATTATCGTGTCATCAACTGTAGTCATAGTATAATGACAAGCGAATAGCTCGTTTTATTTGCAAATTGCGGGGAAAGTGAAACAGCTGTCCTTTGTCCACTGCAACAGACTGGATTACTTTTAAATAGAATACACCGCAATGGATTACGAAACGCCGGAAAAAGAGAGTAATTTTATAATAGCAAATTTCATTTCAGGCATGGAAAATATGAACGCACCACACAAGAGCAGCTGCAGTTTTGTAAAGACAACCCTGAACTGCAACGGGTAAAAACTGTTCAAACAAACTGTTGTCTCGGAGTTCCCTCAGAAGCCTTCTTGCTCCAAAACAATAGCCGCGCACATAATTATTTTCTCCATGATTAATATTCTGCAATGGATACTATTACGATATGCAAACACAAATTATAACTTTTTAACACACCTATTTAGGCAAATAAAATGGTTTCACAGTTTTTATTTAATAAAAATGTATAACCTTTTTCCGCAAAACGAATAAAACTGAAAATATTAACATATGTTTAAGCGTTGTCACGTACTCAATAGGTCATCACGAAAATAATAGCAATTGTCATTGTAAACGTGACAATTGATTATAAACATGACAATAGTTATAGCGGCGAGTTTTGTCATTGTCATTCGAAATACTGATGAGTTAAAAAACATTTGCCCGAATTGTCTTTTAGCAATAAGTTTCTAAAAATTAAATTTAAAAAATGTCTTCCTCTTTAAAACAATCAAATCTAAAAACGAAACGAAAATTAATAAAAAGATGAAAAAAAATTAAATAGTTTCCAAAAATTTAATAGTTTCCCAAAATGTAATGAAATTTAAAAATATGTTTATTTTTTAAACAATACAACCTAAAAACTATGTAGAAAAGAGATAAAATAAGTTTATAAAGTAAAATTAAATACAATTAAAAACATATTTTTCTTTTTAAAACAATAAAATCTAAATAATTAATGAAAGAAATGTTATTAAATGTTACAGTCTTGAGCGAGGCCTTATCGGTAACATAGAAACTTAAAAAATCTGATAGCAAAAAACGTGATTTAGCGATTGTAACGGCCGAATAAATAAGATTTAAACCCAAATTTTTTTCTCGACACAACTATCAAATAAGACGCTAAACTTTTTTCGTGATACGCCTTAATGTACATACAGTCGGTGGTAAATCTAAGTGTACCCCTTGTTCACAATTTTTTTCATTCAGCCTTATCATGAGTTTCATTTTCCCCGAACCGGTTTACTTTTCACTTTTGGTTTCCATGGTTTTACTATGGGCGGATGACAAATTTTCGGGTGAATTTTTTTTCAGGCGGAACTCAGGATAAGCCAGATTAATTATTTATGAAAATATGTATAGTACATTCTATAACATAAAGAAAAATTGATTCCGATCACGCGTTATATGGAAGAAAACGCACAAACAAAATCTAAAAAATCAACGGTACTCTCAAGGGACTTGAAACTTGCACTCTGTTCAATAGAATTGAACAGGCTACAAAGCTGCATACTCGAAAATTCTCTAGAAACTCTGAACAAACATTTTGAAATTTTTATGAAAATTGTTTGAATTTTTGTGAACTTTATATAAAGTGTGAAACTTTGATGTATATAGATATGTACATATACAGAATGAACTATATTTTCATAGATAATGAATGAAAACAATTTGTATGAAAATAATTGTGAACACTATATTAGAACAAGGTATACACTTACATTTGACACCGACTGTATGTACTTATTTTTAACCAACTTTAAAAAAGGAGGAGGTTACCAATTCATCGGAATATTTTTTTTATGTATGCTACCGCATAATTTTGGACCACGCTATCAGATTTCTATAATTATTTTTACTTAAAAATTTTTATTGAAGGTGCATTTTAATATAAACGCAGTTTCAAAAAAAGTGTTGGTTGGGGCCTTTGTGAATTAAGGTAAGATATTTATGTGCGTTACGCTGCGATTATGTGCTTAGTGGTCGTTACCTTCATGTACACATTCGCATTCGCAAAATATTCGTATCATTTGGTGCGAATGCGAATGTAAATATATATTCGCAACATCCCTGGTACATACGTATGCAGCAGGCAATTTCCACAGCAGCTTAAGCTATTGTTCCATTAACATTGCCAACAGTCTATTGGCCGTCTGTGCTGCAATTTTTCGGCCGTCAACTCAACTCACTTCGCCTCCTTCATCACTCACTGTCCATAGTGCTACACGGCTTTTTATAGCCACCAGTAAATGTAGTGTGTAAAAAAGCGCTGTTGTCAGCGCCAACCAGCGCCGCGCTACATAATGATAAACAGTACATTCATTAGTTGAATATCGA